CCAGGACGTCACGTTTGACGAGTCGGTCCCCTACTACCGCCTCTTCCCCTACCGCACTCCGTCCCTCCCCCCACCCCAACTCTTCCTGGTACCAGGTCCCCCCCAGGTAGACCCCCTCCCCCCTCAGGGTCCTGCCCCTTCAGGTGTGTCCCAGGTAGACGCAGTCGAGCCTGTCGAGGTCACTGGTGACTCTGGTGCTGCTGAGGGTGCTGAGGCTGGGGGTGCTGTACCTGGGGGTGCGGAGCCTAGGGGTGCTGGGCCTGGGGGTGCTACGTCTGGGGGTACTGAGCCTAGGGGTGCTGAGCCTGGGGGTGCTGAGCCTAGGGGTGCTGAGCCTGGGGGTGCTGAGCCTGGGGGTGCTGAGCCTAGGGGTGCTGAGCCTGGGGGTGCTGAGCCTAGGGGTGCTACGTCTGGGGGTGCTGAGCCTAGGGGTGCTACGCCTGGGGGTGCTGAGCCTGGAGGTGCTCCGCCTCGAGGTTCTCCGAGTGCTTCGTCTCGCCGGGAGCCACTTTCTCCACAGGAGCTGCGTGAGTGGTTTGCCCGGCGCTGGAGGCGTGCTGCTGGTGCTGGAGGTCCTTCGGCTGCTGAGGGTGCTGCGGTCGCGGGTCCCGGAGGTGCTCGTCCTGGGTGCACTGGAGCTGGTGCTGCTGAGGGTGCTGGCGCTGAGACTACCGCTGGCAGTCCTACTGGGGGTGCTCCTGGTGCTGCTGGAGGTTCTGGAGCTACTGGTGGTGCTGCTGGAGCGGCTGCTCCTGCTGAGGGTTCTGGTGCTGTCCCTGCTGCTTCTAGCGTCGCCGCGCGGCCTCGACCGTACTTCGTTCCACTCCTGCAGCAGGTTCTTGGTCTTCCACCTTCTACTGGTCCTCCTCCTCCCTTAGAGTGTCCAGAGCCTGTCTCGTCCCAGCTACAGTTGCAGCCTACCTCCCCTTTGCCTGCTCCTTCTCCCTACACTGGTCCTACTGGAGGTCTGGCTGAGCGTCGTGAGCCTGCGTCTCGCCCTGCGTCGCCTGTCCGTGCTGCTCGCACTAGTGGTCGCGGTTCGCGTCAGCGTCCTCCTCCTGTCCCTGGCACGCACCGGATGTCTCTGCGTCCGTCCACTGCTCCTCTGCGTGCCCCTTTGCCTTCTCCTCCTGAGTCCTCTCTTCCTGCTCTTGCCGACCCGGAGTCGGACTCTCTTCGTGCTGCCAGTCCTACTGTCACGCGTCTCCTTGCTACTGTTGTCACTGACCCTTCTTTCGAGTCTACTGCTGCGTCTGCTCTCGTTACTGAGCTCGTCGACTTTGCTGCTCGCTGTCCCTTAGACTACGCTGCTAGTCTTGTCGCTGAGTCTGAGTCTGTCTGTCCTCCGTCCGTCGGGGGTGAGTGTGCCCTTGGCACGGACGTCCTTGAGGACAGGCAGGAGGAGTTCCAGTGTCTAGCAGCTGCCTCACCTCATCTCGTGTCCGTACTGCTTACCCCTGAGGGAGACCCGGATGCACTTGACATCCCGACTCCGCGCTCTTACGCGGAGGCGATAGAGGGTCCCTACGCCTCTCAGTGGCAGGCAGCTATGGATGCAGAGATGGCTTCCTGGAAGTCCACAGGCACCTACGTTGACGCTGTCCCCCCTCCTGGGGCGAACATCGTCAGTGGCATGTGGATCTTCAGGGTGAAGCGGCCGCCGGGTTCTCCGCCTGTCTTCAAGGCGCGTTACGTGGCTCGTGGCTTCAGTCAGCGGCAGGGAGTTGACTACTTTCAGACCTTCTCCCCCACCCCGAAGATGACCACTCTTCGGGTACTGCTGCACGTTGCTGCTCACCGTGACTACGAGCTGCACTCTCTTGACTTCAGCACAGCTTTCTTGCAGGGCAGCCTGCACGAGGAGATCTGGCTGCGTCGCCCACCTGGCTTCACTGGGTCTTTCCCTTCTGGTACCCAGTGGAGTCTCCGGCGTCCAGTCTACGGTCTCCGCCAGGCGCCACGTGAGTGGCACGACACACTGAGGACTACACTTGCGGCTCTTGGGTTTGCTCCTTCTACTGCCGACCCGTCGCTGTTTCTACGCACCGACACCTCTCTGCCGCCGTTCTACATCCTCGTGTACGTCGACGACTTGGTCTTTGCCACAGCTGACACTGCTGGACTCGCCTACGTGAAGTCCGAGCTGCAGAAGAGACACACGTGCACAGACCTGGGTGAACTGCGCAGCTACCTTGGCTTGCAGATCACCCGGGACAGAGCACGCCGCACCATTACCCTGACTCAGTCACACATGGTGCAGCAGGTCCTTCAGCGCTTCGGCTTCACGTACTCCTCGCCTCAGGCCACTCCTCTGTCTACTCGTCACTCGCTCTCAGCTCTGCCTTCGGATGAGTCCGTAGAGTCGAGTGGCCCGTACCCAGAGCTTGTTGGCTGCCTCATGTACCTGATGACCTGCACACGACCTGACCTTGCATACCCTCTTAGCATTCTTGCACGCTATGTTGCTCCTGGGAGACACAGACCAGAGCACATGGCTGCAGCGAAGAGGGTGTTGCGCTACTTGTGCAGTACGTCGGGCATGGGGCTAGTGCTTGGAGGGCGGAGTCCAGTGGTCCTCACTGGGCACGCGGACGCTTCTTGGGCTGACGACCAGGCTACGCAGCGGTCGTCACAGGGTTACACCTTCAGCCTTGGTTCCGGCTCTGTTTCGTGGCGGGCTACTCGCTCGTCTTCTGTTCTTGGCTCGAGTTGTGAGGCTGAGATCTACGCCGGGGCCATGGCTGCACAGGAGCTTCGCTGGCTCACCTACCTGCTGACCGACCTTGGAGAGCCGCCTCGTTCTCCTCCAGTCCTGTACGTAGACAACAAGGCCATGCTGGCCTTGTGTCGAGAGCAGCGACTGGAGCACAGAACAAAGCACATTGCTCTCCGCTACTTCCTTGCTCGTGAGCTACAGCAACGTGGTCAGTTGCGGCTAGCGTACGTGGCCTCTGAGGCCAACACTGCTGATGTCTTCACCAAGGCACTTCCGCCTTGTGATCATCAGCGCTTCTGCACTCAGCTGGGTCTTGTGCCCGTCTTGCCTCACTTGCTCTCCTCTTGACCTTGCCTGTACTCTCACATATACATATACCTGCTCTTGCTTGTCTAGCTTTATATATATATGTGTGTACTCTTGCATGTGAACTGGCCGTGTGGCCTTGACCCTGTGCTCGGACTGTGTGGTGACTTTGTGATCCACCCTGAGCTTGCTTTGCTTTACTTTGCTTGACTGGTCTTGTGACCCCTTGTTCTCCCCCACTTTGCCTATGGGGGTGTGTCAGAACATTATAGCTTATGCTGTTGTGTAGGCTATAGTGGGGTATTCCATAGGGGGTACAACCAATTAGGGTTTCATATTTGTACTCACTTCATTTCATAGTTCATTCATTCTTGTTCAAATCTTCTCACGATGTGTTCTGCTAAGGCAGCAGCAGGCATTGGCCCGAGTAGATCTTGTTCACGTCGCACACCTGGTGGCACATGGGAGGGAAACACTGCAACTTAGCAAGATAGAGCAAACTGCAATCAGTTACAACACGTGCGTCCGATCTGTAACAGGTTGCACCACAACCACATGACGACGCACACCTCATGAGGCAAGCACCTTGCTTCCGATCTCATTTTTCCAGGCGCCAAAAAAATGTTCTGAGATTTTTAGGTGCCTCAAAAATAGGCACCTCATGAGGCAAGCACCTCTCTTCCGATCTCAAAGGCCGTGGCATGGATCCCATTTCGATGTTTAGCTTGAATGCTGTACGTGCATCTCACCTCAGGGTTGCGCTTGAATAACTCGGAGTTAGGATCGCACAAGGTGGCTCGGGGCACGAGGGAGCAGAGGGTGTCTCCTGGTCGCACAATCCAGACCCTGCCACCTCACACCAGACAACAAGAGAACCACATGCTTTTTGAGTCGAATCAAAATAGAACCCTCCGGGTCCCACGATCCAAATCCTGCACTCACACCAGGCAACGAGAGAGCTTCACGTCATGTCACCGTATGAGAGCCTAACTAATCTAACAAAACAATCTGGTTATTGAACCTCATTCAACTTGTTCGTCACCAAACAGAAATCCGCGTGTAGTGAGTCGAGTTTTGAGTCGACTCAAAACGTGTGTAGTGAGTCGATTTTTGAGCCCAGTTTTGAGTCGACTCAAAACGCGAGCCTAACTAATCTAACAAAACAATCTGGTTATTGGAATTCATTCAACTTGTCCATCACCAAACAGAAATTGCAAGGCAGACGAAGGTATCTCCAGGTCTCACAATCACTTTTGAGAATTCTCAACAGTGATTTCAATAATATCTCCAGGTCTCACAATCCAGATCCTATGCCTCATCCAGCAGGAGCTGGATGAGGCCTGGTGGTACCCCGGATGAGGCATAAAGACTACCACATGTCTCTGAATGCAACAAGTGTGCTTTCAGGTTTCACACTCCGAATCCTCAGCCACAGACCAGGCTCAATAAGAGAACTGCGTCTCATTGAGTGCGATCCTACTTCATCTAGAAACAAAACTCGAGGTATTTTGAGGATTCTAGAAAAATACTATTTTACTGCAGGTCTAGATTATCCAGAAACAGAACTCAAGACTTTGAACAAATGCAAGGGAGCATCGGAGACAAATAAATGCAAGGGAGCATTGGAGACAAATAAATGCAAGGGAGCAGAGCAACACTCCCACAGTATTGAACACGTGTCGAAACCTGTGCTTACCAAATGCTCATGCATCCAATTATCCATACAAGATGTATGTCACTCGTTTTCTTGTTTGTTGCACCACCGGAGACACGATACCTGCAGCGACGCTTCCTTACTTTCCGTCCAATTCCTTGGCGCTCCCGTTCCTGATCCGCCGTCAGATGCAAAACGGGGTAGCCCATGTTCCAGTTCGGAACGACGTCGTTCCAGCACGTGCCGTGCCCGTGACAGGCCATTTCAGTGGCCGACGCAGAGTGGGTCGATCCGGCAGAGATTGAAGTAAATCCATTTCAGTGTTCATGCAGCGGCACGCCACATGAGAAGAGAGGCGGGAGTGGGGTCGGGGACGGGAGCGGGGAACAGGAGAGAGGGGAGGGAAAGGGAGTCGAAAGGAGAAATCAGGGAGGAAAAGGAGAGTTGAAAGAGGGCAAGGAAGAAAGCATATGAACCACTAACATTTGATATATCTGTACTGTATGCAGACATAAGATCAAACAAGGATGACGGAAGATTAAGTGTTGTGTAATATCATCTTATGGTAATACATTTGTAGTGTAGCAAGTGCGTGAGTAAGAATCTACGTGTCTTGTTATTGGGGTGCCTCAGAAGTGTTGAGATTTTCTTTTTGATATTTTTTTCCCCACAGTACTACACACCTTGGGAGATATGGAGCAATAACAACAAAGCTATGAACAACCAGACGTTACAGTGATATGGTTGAGGGAATTTTTGGGAGTGGGAACCACAAGGGCTTCGAAAGAATCATTGCTCTACTGTAGCTAATGCAAACGGGTTGGGAAGGAATCAAACCAAGTTATCAGATATGGGCAACTTGCATGAGTTGGACAGGATGGGCCGGGAAAAAGAAAAACACATGATTGTCAGTACAGAGACTTGTTATAAAACTGAAACGCACACCAGTCACTCACTCACTCACCTCATTCTCTGCGCCACCTGCAGGGGCGTCAGTGCCTCCACATGCTGCCTGGGACGGCACGGTATGAGCACTGCTGCTGCCAGCACAGCCACCCCTCCAATGGCCAGCACCTGAGAAGTGGGGGGGGGAGAGGAGATGTGAGCGAATGTAGACAAAAACCAGCACTGGGAAGGAGAGCGCGGTATGAGCACTGCTGCTGCCAACACAGCCACCCCTCCAATGGCGAGCACCTGAGGTGGGGGGGAGGGAGGGAAGGGGTGGGGGGGGATGAGTGGGTTGGTATTGGGGATAGGAGGAGACCATGAGGCAGGGCGGGCGAGGCATGAGCACCGCTGCTGCTGCCAGCACAACCACTCCTCCTATGGCGAGTGCCTGAGAAGAGGGGGGGGATGTGAGCGGTTGGCATTGGGAGAGACGAGCACATGCATGTGCGATCGCATCCTGCCTTGTTCACACTCACATGCTTGGCCATAGGCCCCAGCCCATGCATCCATTGCTGCACCTGCCCCATCGCGCTTATCCCTATGTCACAACACACCCATGTGCCATGCCATGCCATCCCATGCCATGTCATGCCATCCCATCCCATCCCACCCCAACCCACCCCAACCCAACCCACTTCACCCCATCCCATCTCATCTCATCTCATCCCATCCCATCCCATCCCATCCTACCGCACTCATATGCTTGGCGATAGGCCCCAGACCATGTATCCACCGCTGCACCTGCCTCACCACAATCACATGCATCTCCCCACCCCATGTCCGCGTGCATCGCACATGCATGTGCCATCCCATCCCATACCATCCCATCACATCCTGCCTTGTTTGCACCATATGCTTGGCGATAGGTCCCAGCCCATCCATCCACAGCTGCACCTGCCCCATCATAATCACATTCGCTTGCCTGCCCCACCACACTCGCACTCACATGCTTGGCGATAGGTCCCAGCCCATCCATCCACCGCTGCACCTGCCCCACCACCCCCACCTTCTCCGCTACTGCCCGCCTCCTCACCCTCCTCATCCCCTTCCGCTGCCCCACCTGCTGCCTCCTCTCCACCCCCTCCCCCTCCCTCTCTGCGTTCCCTCCCTCCCCCTTCCTTCCTTCCTTCTCTTCATTCCCTCCTCTCCCCCCTCTTCTCCTAGCACTCCCACTGCCGTTGCAGAGACTCGCATTATGACTACCAATGCCAGAGCCACTCTTGCTAGAGCTGCCAGTCCCAGTCCAGCCACTGCTGACACTCCACCGGCCGCCATACGCCCTCTCACCGCTCTGGTTCACCATCTCACCGCTCCCAATCACAGCCCCTTGGCTGGCGCGCGGGCGTCGCTTCAGCGGGGATCTCTTACAAGGAGACTGTTTATAAGGGGACGCGGCTTGGCCATAGGTGGCAGCATCGGTTGCAGCGCTGCTGCTGGGGCAGCTGCTGTCTCTCCTGCTGCTCTCCCTCCTGCTGCTGTCCCTCCTGCTGCTGTCCCTCCTCCTGCTGCTGTGAACGCCCTGCCTCTCCTTGGAGCGCAAACTGGTTGCGTCACATACACCTACACCTGCCGTTGCTGCCGCTCCATGGGTGGCTGAACCTTCTGGGAAGGTTGGCCCTTCGTGCAGTGACGCTAGTGGTGATGGCACTGCTGCTGCCCTGCCTGCTACTGACATGCTCCCCCCTGCTCCTGCTTCAGCCCCTGCCAAAGCCGGATCCACTGCAGATGTCTCAGCAGTTGCTGTCTCTGCTGCTGCCACTGGCATTGCCACTCCTCCACCTAACAGCCCCCCTCCTTCCTCACCTCCTCGTCCTCCTCCTCTCACATCTCCTCCTCCTTCCAACCTGCCCACAACACTCCCTTCCGACCTTGCTGGGCCTCCCACGAGTGCTCTCAAACTGCCGGCACTACCACCAGCGCCCTGGCCTCTCCTCAACACCCGATGGCCCCCCTGTCCCCCCTGCTGTACCCCCCGCGCTCCCTGCCCCTCCCTCCGCTGTCGGCGCACCTCCTCCCAAAATCGGTCATCCTCTGCCCACCGCTGTAGCAGCAACCCCAGGTGCTCCCCCTTCCCCACACCCTCCCCCCTCCCCACACCCTCTCCCCGCCCCACACCCTCCCTCCGCCCCATCACCCCCGCCCTACCCACAGCACCCTCCCCTCTCCCCGCAAGCTCCCCCTGCTCCCTCCCCAGCGCGCCCCTGCCCATGCCTCTCCGCCACCCACTGACATCACTGTAACGGCCAGGGAAAGGACACAGGGAGGCCCTCTGAAGGTTGCTCTCATAGGCAGCACTAGCACTAGCACTAGCACTAGCACTAGCACTAGCACTAGGACTGCCACTGCCACTGCCACTGTCACTACCACTGTCGCCATTGCAACTTGTGCCCCTGCCATCACAACCCCTGCTGGTGGTGGTGACATTGCCGCCACAACCATCGCCGCTGACAGCTGAGCTGGCTGCTGAAACGCCCTGCTTCTGCCACGTGTACATCAACTGAGACAGCGACCCCACGTCACTGAACCTACGGTGCGGGAATTCGGAAGGGGGCTCCTCTCGCGTTGTGCCAAAAAGGAAATCGCCCAGGCGACAGCTGCTTGCACCACCACCACCACTGCTGCTGCTGCCAATCCACGTCGTTGGAACAACTGAAACAGTTGAAGCTTTGGAGAAGAAAATCTCCCGAGCCACACCCGAGCCTGAGGTCCCTCCACTACCCGAACCTGCTCCACGTTCGGATCCCGAACCTGCCCTAGTTTGGACCTCCAAGCATGCATTACCAGCAGCAGTAACCGTGCCTGAATCAATTGATGCATGCAAACCAGCACTCCCAACGTCAGAGCTGGTGAAAGACCCGAATATGCTGCCATCCTCCCTAGTGGCACTATGGCTCGCTCCTGTAGACCAGCGGCGGTTGAAGGAAGGACTGCTGCTGGCAGTGGTGGTGGAAAAAGAGGACGGGAATGGCTGTGGCTGTGGCTGTGGCTGTGTTCCGCCATCCCCAACAACGGAGGTGGTGGAGGAGGAGGAGAGTGGATGTGGCTGTGCTCGACCCTGTCTGGTCGCAGCAGCTCTCCTCATCTGTGTGCTCTGTCTATGGTACGCACCCCATCCCCCTCCGCCCCTTCCACTCTCATCCCCTCCCGGCCCAAGACAGAATTCACCAGAATGAAACCCACCGGCAACTGCAGCTGCAGCAGCGTCATTGCCAGCAGCACCACCAGCAGCGCCACCAGCGGCAACAGCGGCAGATTCACCACTACCATCTGCAGCAGCTGCAGTTGCAGCCTCGTTTGCCAAACCTCCCCCAGCAGAGCACTCCATGGCCACCTTCCGCACACCCAAACCCAGGCCTGCACCCGGCCGCCTTCTGACCCGCTTACAAGGCGCCTCGTTATCCACCACAAACCCGTCCTCCTGCGCCACCCGTGCTAGAGTGGACGAAGCTGCTGATAGCCCTGCTGCTGCTGCTGGTGCTGCTGCTGCTCGTGTTGATGGTGATGACGTGGCTCTAGCAGCAGAGACAGGAAGGGAGACGTTAGAGGGAGACAGAGTGGGAGTGACAACGGTGGGTGGGGTGGCAGAGGCAGAAGCAGAGGCAGAGGCAGAAGCAGAGGCAGACGCAGACGCAGAGGCAGAGGGAGAGGGAGAGGCATGCGTCAACTGCACGTCCGCTTCCTCCCTTGTTTCCTCTTCCTTCCCCACCTCACCTCCCCTCTCTGCTGTCCCTTCCTCTACCCTCTTATCTCCCCCCTCCCCTCCGCCCTCCTTTCCACCCTCTTCCCCTCCCTGTTCCTTCCGAGCTTCCTCCCCCTTCCCCCCCTCCTCTCCATCCATTACCCTCAACCTTTCACTCCCATCATCCGCCTTGCCGCTTGCTCCCACGCCTTTCTGACTCGACTCAACCTGCTGGCGAACCTGCCAAGGAACGCAGGGAGGGAAGGAAGTGCAAGGGGGAAGGGGTCATGGGTAGCACATGGGTGGTTAGCTAGCACAAGGGTAGCATATGGGAGCACATGCATAGCATATGAGTAGCACACGGGCAGCACATGGGTAGCACATGGGCAGAACGTGGGTACAATATGGGGAGCACATTGGTGGCACGCACACACCATGGATGCGATTCTGGCTTTCTCCATTCCTGTCAGCATGAAGCTGGACTTGACATGAACTCGCGCGCCATTGGTCCACGTCAGCATCTCATCTCGAAATCGTTTCTCCACTATGACAGGCACTCTGAGGGCTGTGGCACAAGATGTGGGGGATGACGAGGCAGGATGGGAATGAAGTGGCAGGAAGGAGATGACGTGGCAGGAAGGTGAAGTGGCGTGACGTACAGGATAATTAAGGTGTCATGCACAGGAAGATCACAATTTGCTCTGTATGAAATGGAACAGAACATACTGAGAGGCAGACTCGGGCAAATGAAGGTAACAGGAAACAGAGAAGGCTGCAGCAGTGGGAGCAAACAATCAAGAGTGACACATGAGGGAAGGAGAGTCGCAAGTCCTGTTAACACAGTTTCAGTCATTAATGTTAGTAACAGAGTGATGGGTCGGAGCATGCTCACATGTCTGACTGAGGATGGTTCCTTGTGAGTCGAGGAGTGAGAGGAGCACTGGATCCACCAGGTTCAGCACGGGGCTGCATGGCGATGCACATGCATGCACCAGTGCAGTGCAGCACACACATCACACATGCAGCACACGCATCACACATGCAGAACACACATCACACATGCAGCAGCACACGCATCACACATGCAGCACACACATCACACATGCAGCACACACATCACACATGCAGCACACACATCACACATGCAGCACACGCATACCATGTGTTCACACGTTTGTCACACACGTGCAGTGCAGCACACGCGTGCGTTCACAACACGCATTCCGCATGCATGCACGTGCAACGCACACACCAAGAGTGCAGAGCAAGGGAACGAGGGTGGATGAGTAGCTTTGGAGTACAGGCAGCACACAAACTCACACTCACACTTATCCATTACACAATGAGGAACAGTGCTCAGCAGGTTGAATTGAACACCAGAGAGATGATTTAATCAGCAGAGGGAGCAGGGAGCAACAGAATCCCGCCAGCACATGAACAGAGTGCAACGGAGAGTACCCGAACGTGGTGGGCTGTGGTGTGGGGTGATAGAGAGTGGTGGAAGGTGGTGGAGTGCGGTGCAAGGTGCAAAAAAACGACGTTTTTTTCATTTTTTTGTCGTTTTTTTCGATATCGTAATTTACGATCGTATAAAACGGAATAAAACGAGAATATTTATTAGTATTTTTTTGGTGAAAAAAAACGATTTTTTTTTACGATCGTAAATTTCGTACCACAATTTACAGTTACGATGATCTCCGGAAAACGCACAACTCGCAGTGAAGGGTTTCACTCTATACACAAGCAACACAAGGGGTTGAGGTAGCGGGAGGATTCATGCTTCTGTTTGTTCCTCGAACCGCAGGTAGTTGACGCACGCATCAATTCGTCATGCTAGGGTTGGTTGCGACGTGAAAAATGTTCCGCATCGGAAAGTTTGCTCTCGCTTTTTTCGCGCGCGTCATAAAAGCGTCAGCGCACGTATGAATGCAGCGCTGCGAAGAATTACAGTTGCATTTGCGACATGATATTTTGTTGCTGCACGTCAGCGAAACTTTAACATTTGGGTTTGCGACGTGACTTCCAAGTGTTGCCACGTCTTACCCACTTTCACTTCCCGTAACGCAATTTCTGAATTCGTGGTTTCCGACACGAATTCCACGGGACTAGCGCGTAGTACGCCCAATCTCTCTGATAGTATCCAACGCCCGGCGTGAACGCATACTCCCAGCAAAGCTGCAAGCCGTTTGCCGACGGACGATTTCTGTTGTTATTAGTAGCCACCACACCATTGACTTCAGCACTCCACGTCCATTCTAGCCAGTTCTTGTTCGAGTAGGCCCGTTTTTCATCCACAATGCCTAGAGCACGGTCTGAACTGTGGGACCACGTGAAGGAGGTAACTGACAAAGACGGAAAAGTCGGCTATGTGTGCATTCACTGCCCTAAGGACAAACCCACTGTCATTCCTGCAAGCGCTACACGAATCAGAGACCACATTTTAGGGATCGAGAAAGGTCAGCCGAAAAACATAGGGGTCTGTAAGTCTGACTTTGCGGTGAATCTCCGCCTCAAGAGTGCAACGTCTACGGGCAATCCGAGCAGCTCAACATCCTTGGTGGGGAACGGCCCTAAGAAGGGTCGCCAGCTCGACATCCGTGACGTCACGGACGAAAAGGGCCGTGAGAAACTCGATCTGCTCTGGGTGACTGCGGTGGCAGAGAACGATTGGGCGTTTCGGGTCTCTGAGTGAGTGGAAACGCTTAACCCTTGTGCCATGTTTCTTCCATGGACATCTTCCCTCCCCATTTTACGTGTTAATTAGTTATGGTGTAATAGCTAGCGCTCATCTCATGGCTGCTGCAGATTCGTGCCCATCATGATTTGGCTGCTACTGCAACGCTCCTCCTCACCTTGTTAATATTATGCTTTGCTGGCATTCATACCACACCCCACAGATCTGTTGCGGTCCAGAACTTTCTGAACGTGTTAGTGAGTTTTAGGAGACCCTACACACTCCCGTCTGCCTACAAAGTCGCGGGCCCATTGCTCGCCAGATTGAAGACAGAGACGGAAGAACTCGTGCGGCCCTTGACAGATTCTTGGGCAACGACGTCGTGCACCATCTCCGTCGACGGATGGTCGTGCTTGAAGAGTCGCGGCTTGGTGTGTGTGTTGGCGCACAGCGACACTGCACCAGTGATTGTCAAAGTTGTCGATTCCAAGCTGTCGAAGAAGACAGGTTCATACCTGTCTGATCTCATAAGGACGTCAATCGTGAAGGTGGGGGACACCAAGGTGATTCAGGTGGTCATGGACAACGCAAGTAATAACAAGAGTGCTGCCGCAATTCTCGGTGAGGGTTATCCGTCGATTTTCTTCACCAACTGTGCTGCCCATTGTCTCGATCTCATGCTCCACGACATGGGTAAGATCGGCATTGTGAAGAAAGTTCTCACCCAGGTCCATCGCATCGTGATGATGGTCAAGGGAAGTGCGAGTGCTGTTGCCCTTTTCCGCACGATCTTCAGCAAGCTGGAGCTTGTTCGGCCAGGTACCACCAGATTTGGCACGCAGGTGATCATGGTCACCCGGTTCTTGGAGGTCAAGGAACAGCTTCGTCAGATGGTCATCAGTGACCAATGGAAGGAGGTGGCAGTGTCTAAGACCGAAGATGCGAAGAAAATCCGGAAACTCCTTCTGGATGATATCTTCTGGGAATCGGTCAAATCAGTGCAGAAACTGATGATGCCGATCTACAATGTGCTACGAGCAGTCGACACAAGAGCTCTTGTGATGGGATCTATCTACGGGATGATGCTCGAGGCGACCGTGGCGGTCAATGAGGCGGCAGAGGGAGCAGGTAAACAGTGTTGCACACCCATTACAAGTGCACCCTAAGCCAAACCAGATTCGTGCCCTAATGGTATTATGTCTTTCTTTGCAGCGACATTCTTCAGGCGTCACAGCCAAGTGCTCGCCGGGAAGGAGAGGTCGAAGTTTTTGGCGGCCATCAAGGGCATCATCAGGCGCAGATGGGATAAGCAGTTGCACAACCCGATGCATGCATTCGGCTGGCTCCTTAACCCGAAGAACTAGCTTGCGATTGAAGTCCGCAACGACCCCGAGATCATCAAAGGGGTCAATGCTGTGCTGCAGGCACGAGGAGGTGACGTGCAAGGCCGTATCTTGTTGCAAGCCCAGCTTGCTACGTACCACAGAGTAGACATGAGCAAAAACTCGAACACCTGTTCGGTTCGCCTCGAACATGTTCGAGGCGAACCGAACTATTTTTTTTTTTGGAAAAAATAGTTCGAGGCGAACATGTTCGGTGTTCGCCCGAACATGTTCGCCGTTCGCCACCCAAGTATCGGGGAGGTTGGACGAACACGAACATGTTCGTGTTCGTTTTGTGCATGACGCGAACACCAAAGTGTTCGCGTCAAAATTGGCCGCGACCAAATTTAGGTCGCGGCCAATTTGAGTTTGAGCTCATTTTTTGAGCTCAAACTCAAATCGTTTTTTGTTGGTTAGCCCTCCCTCCCTCAACCACCATAGGCTTCATCCCTAATAGCCACCACACACCGTTCCCTAACTATTACACGAACATTTCAACTAAGTAGTTCGTAGTAGTGAAGGGTAATTTCAGAAATCGCGAGGGGTTAGTTCGTAGTAGCTACGGGATCAATTTCGCCGAGGCTAATTCCCTAGTTGTAGGGGCTGGCATTTCTCCGTGCCACACGTACCTATGAGTTCAATTAGGACCGTGCTATCCATGGCTTGCGACCGTTCCTTTGGGGTTTTAGGGTTTTAAGGCCGAGAGCGCATTTATGGCTTCTAGCCAACATGGATCTGTAGAACGAGGTGCACGCAGCGCTCAGGGCGGTACACCAGGTTCTCCACCACGACCTATGCAGGGGCGAGTAGGGGATGGACCTGCAGGAGCCGGCGCTTGTTTCGTCGGGGGGTTTCTTTCCGTAGCGGCGCCGACGTCCCGTCACTCGTTCCGTTACTCAGGCCCGCGACCCCCTCCTTTTGGGCAGACGCAGCCGGAGAGTGGCAGTGGGGAGGAGGATGAGGAGGAGGAGGGTGAGGGCGAGGAGGATGAGGACCATGAAGGGAGCGGGGATGACAGTGAGGCCGGGTGGGATCCCGAGACGCATGGCGGTGGGAAAGGGGGGGATGATGAGGAGGACCATGAGATGGATGGGTTGGAGCCAGAGGAGGTGGAGGAGGGGGTGGGAGAGGGTGGTGAAGGGGCGGCGACAGAGGCGGCCTCACAGCATGTGGCTGAAGGAGGAGGGAGCGTGGGGGTTAAGGTGGGGAGAAAGCGGGCATCCATTAGGATGCCGAAGCGGAGGAAGAGGGCGAGCAAGTTGAGGGAGCGAGCATATCCCTGCACATTCACTGGGAAGCCCTTGGGCGAGGGTGTGGTCGCTCCGGAGTTCCTAGACGAGGACGGAGGGTCCGAGAGTAGTAAGGGGACTGGCAAGGGTAATAAAAAACCGGGGTGGCAAGTACAGATGTTTGGGCCTAAAGGGGCAGACGAGAAGCGTCAGTGCAAGATTTGCACTGACAGGATTTCGTGGAAGCAATCCACAACAACACCCGGCGAGCGGCACTTTGAGAGCTACCACACAGCGCACATGGACGTGTGGCATCACCGTTACCACACTCCGTCCGTTCACTTGCCTGGGGAGACGTTCCCTCGTGGGGGCTACAAGGGTGTGCCGGATGGCTACGTCGATGGGTGGCCGCATGCCAAGTCTTGGCCGCATCTCGCAAAGAAGAAAGGGACGGCGTCCGGTGGAGCTCCGGGGTCAGGCGGGATGGAGCGGTTCATGACAACCAAGCTGTCCACGGAGGAGCTACGGCAGGCGATTGCCAAGCTGGTGGTCACCTGCGACCTCCCCTTCCGCATCGTCGAGTCCGAGGCCGTGAGTGTCCCATGTCTGGTGTTTTGGCAGTATGTGTGTGGTTGACTATTTCATGCTTCTATTGTAATCCACCATTGACATGTCCATCATACACATGTCCACCATTCACATGTCCATCATTCACATGTCCACCATTCACATCTCAACACGTACAGTCACATCTCAGCACGTACAGTCACATCTCAGCACGTACAGCCACATCTCAGCACGTACAGTCACATCTCAGCACGTACAGTCACATCTCTGCACGTACAGTCACATCACATCTCAGCACGTACAGTCACATCTCAACACGTACAGTCACATCTCAGCACGTACAGTCACATCTCAGCACGTACAGTCACATCTCTGCACGTACAGTCACATCACATCTCAGCACGTACAGTCACATCTCAGCACGTACAGTCACATCTCAGCACGTACAGTCACATCTCTGCACGTACAGTCACATCTCTGCACGTACAGTCCACCATTCACATATCCACCATTCACATGTCCACCATTCACATGTCCACCATTCACATATCCACCATTCACAGTTGTCTCTACTCTACCCTCCTTCAGTTTCGGGAGCTATTGATCCTGCTAAACCGCAACTGCGCACAGAAGAATTTCATCCCCTCGCGGTGGACGGTATCCCGCGACACTGTGGTCTATGCAACAGCAGCTCTCCAGTCCGCCATTGCGGAGATGCTGGCGAAGGAGGGGGAGTTGGGGTGCAAGGTGTCGATCACCATCGACATGTGGACGGCACCCAACAACAAGGCATGGCTAGTGGTGACAGGTCACTGGATAGACGAGAACTTCCAGCTGTGCACAATGGTGCTTGAGTTCCGTGAGATGCTCGGGCGGCATGGGGGCAGGGAGATGGCGCAGGTGGTTGAGGAGACGATTGTGCAGTGGGGGTTGGAGGGGCGTTGTCTTGGTTTCACGACAGACAACGCCTCTAGCAACATTGCCGCCTTCAGGCGGATGTCGGAGGAGGGTGGTGGTCAGTGCTTCTTCAGCTCGCGCATGCACTTCCGGTGAGTGTGGGATTGTGCGTGGGTTGGGCGTGCGGGAGTGTGGGCGTGTGTTTGCCTTTGTGGGCGTGTGTTTGCCTTTGTTGGTTTTGTGGCTCACTCTAACCATGGAGATGGTGGTGCCGTACTACAACGGCCTGATCGACGCCATGGAGTCGCGCCTTGCCAAGGGGCCATCTCCGACACTGCAGCCGATGATCGTGGCGGCGCTGAGCCACTTGAAGAAGTACGCGTACATCACCAGCAACGAGTACTGGATCGCCACCTTCTTGGACCCATCCATGAAGGCGGCGTGGTTCGACGACGCGCACTGGGAGAAGCTGCATCCCGAGACCGACAGGAGGGTGAGGCCGCGTCCGGCGTCGGGCGAGGTGATCAAGCTGGTGCGCGACCGCGTGGCCGAGTACCAAGCCCGGGCTGCAGAGCTTGCTCCACGGCCGACCCCACTTGCCCCCGTTGCGGAGGAGGAGGACGGAGACGAGGAGGAGGACGACGATGACGCGCAGTTTCTTCCTAATCGCCGACGACTTGCGGCGCGTCTGTCGGCGAGCCAGGAGGCGGGGGCGGGTGGGATGGTGCAAGATGACGAGGTTAGCAGGTACTTGTCCGAGAGGGTGCGGTGCGACGTGACAGCGCTAGAGTACTAGCGCAGTGCCACCAACATGCAGACGCTGAGGCGCATGGCCCGGGATTATCTCGCCATCCCTGCCACGTCCGCTTCGAGTGAGCGGGTGTTCTCCCTTGGTCGCAACCTCATTTCCTGGAAGCGGCACCGCCTGGCCTCTCAGAGGACGCGAGCTGTCATGATTCTCAGATCATGGTACAGTTCACACCCTGGCCAGAGGATAGGCGAGGGCCGCCGACCGAGAGGCGTCGCACCACCAGAGTTCGCCATTGAGGGCGAGGGGACAGAGGAGGATGATGAGGAGGAGGAGGAGGAGGGTGTGGAGACTGACGACACAGCTGGTGGAGAGGATGCTGTTGTTGGTAGTAGCAGTGCAGTGGCGCCTTAGTCACTTAGTGTAGGAATTTGTTAGACTTTGACATTTCCCTTCACAGTATGTGATGTTGTACTATTGGGTTCGTTGCATGCACACATATACACCCTGCACACATTTTGCTATCATCCTGAACCTTGAAAACTGTTTTCTGACATGTGTGACTATAGTGAATTTTCCCCTGGGCGAACACGAACATGTTCGTGTTCGCCTGTTGAAAAAAATCGTTCGCCACTTAGGGCGAACGGCGAACACCAAGTTTCAGCTAATTAGTTCGCCGAACCGAACAGTGTTCGGTTCGGCAAAACTACATGTTCGAGGCTGGGCGAACTCGAACATGTTCGAGTTCGCCCTTTGCTCATGCCTACCACAGAGGTGAGGGTCGTCTGGGGGGGGAAGATGCACGGGCCGCAGCGATGCTCGTGGAGAGTGGACGTCTCTCACATGCGGATTGGTGGGCGATGTATGGAGGGGAACTCCCCGAGCTGCAAGATTTGGCTGTGAGAATGTTATCACAGCCTATCACAGCGTCGGAAGTTGAGAGGTGCTGGTCTGCGATGGCAAGGGTGCAGCGGCGTGATCGCAACAGACTGAGCGCTCAGACCATGATCGATGTCACCACGGTGGCATTCAGTAGGCGTTCGAGGGCTGCATTCGACAAGAAGCAGGAAGTGCGCGCCAAACTTTTTGCAGACCTAGCAGCAGGCAAGCTCAACGAGAGCACTCTAGAAAGAGTGACGACGACGGCAATCGAAAGCTCTGAACCACAGGCCAAAGGCTCTGAAGCACGGGTTGAAGAGGACGAAGGTGATGTCGATTGCGTGATTGACTGGGAAGCTTTTGGCAGCATCGGGAAGAGGAAGAAGAAAGAGGTGACAAAGGGAAACAAGGGAAAGGCGACCAAGAAGCTTAAGAAGAAGCGTTCGGCTGACGAAGACGATGATGAGGAGGAGGATGAGGAGGAGGAGGAGGAGGAGGAGGAGGAGGAGGAGGAAGAGGAGGAGGAGGAGGAGGAGGAGGAGGAGGAGGAGGAGGAGGAGGAGGAGGAGGAGGAGGGGGGGGGGGGGGTCCAACGCATGGGACATTAGTGACATCGATGGTGTTAGATAGAGAGTGATGAGCTGTAACGACCTTTCTATATTTTATTTTAATTGCAATCAGGCTAGAAAACTTATCAACACTGACTTGCCAGAGAGTGTTGGTGGCTAGAGATTTGTTAGGTTTTTTTTTTTTTTTTTTTTTTTGAATTTAATTTTGGGCCTAACAAAAAAACGACGTTTTTTTCCCAAACTTGACCGTAAAAAACGATCGTTCTTTTCAATCGTTTTTTACCGCAACCGTTTTTTTCCACCTTGGTGCGGTGCAATGTGGGACGGCGGTGGTGGGGGGCACGTACAAGGAGAACTCTGCATTGAAGGCGGGCAGCAGGAGTGCATCCCCCAGAGATGCCTTCACGGACGACTGGGGACCCGTGGAGAAAACCTTCGGTCCAACCGCCACTGGACGAGGGGGTTAGCAGAGAGATCAGTGCTTGTGTTGGTAGCATTGTATATGTAATCCATATGTATGTGTATAAATTTATACATGTATAACAACAAAAGAAAACATTGGAAGCAGAAAGGGGATTGAGAGGCAGTCAAAGCAAGTAAGTGCATACAAATCAGCATTTTACTACTAAAGGCAGATGGCAAGGTGATCCATGAAAGGGGGAGAGTGAGGGGTTGGGGGAACGTGTATGTGGGGATGGGATTGTTGTTTAGAGGCAGGTGATTCACAAATTGAAACGAGTGCATTTCGAGAGGCATTAGTTTGGTACAGATGTGCGACCCACCTTGCACAGAGAACTGATCGCCTGCAGAATCCTCCAGCCATGCACCACCAGAGCCATGAAAACATGTCAATCATGCAGCATGAAACAAGCCACCAACAGCCATGGTCCATGTGGCACACACATCCCATCACGCATACAGCAGGCCCGTTGTCATGTCATGAATTGCTCCCACCAAGGCACCATACACCACACGCACCACATGTATACACCCATCCCACGCATTCCACGCACCCCGTGCACGAGAGAGCGCCGCATGCATAAAAAGCGCCAGCACAGCAGTGCATGCAACTCACAAATCAGAGCCGCCACCATTTCACGTCAGACGCAAAATCCGCGAAGGAGCATAAAAACGCAAAATCTCAAGAGCAATTGACCTAGGAAAAACGACCATTGATCGTAGCGGCCTGCCGAAGCGTTACCTTGATTCCCTGGCACGTTGACGCATTCCAAAACTGCGCACATGGAATATGAGAAATCGCAAAAACAACAAAATTGGAAGTAGCGGCTGGAGCGAGAGGGCAACCGTTTTCGACAAGAATTCGAACTTCCTAAAAACTCCATGGTTTCAACAACGTACCATGAACGCAGATTGTTCCCGGCATTGTCGCTCCCAAGTCAAACAAGCAATGGTTGCTCTCTGACAGACAATAACTCCCCTTTGACAGCAGTGAAGCACCTTACACGACCACACGGTCACAGCCGTTGTGCAGCCGGGATACAGCCCGAATTGGACGTCTGTCTGGTCCTGAGTGCAATTGGAATTGGAATGCGCGTCGCATTCGTCAAAAACTATGGTTATGCAGCGTTTCTTAATCGTTAGGTTAATTCTTTGGATCAGCTTGTCTCGACCAGACCAGCATCGCACGGATAATGCGGAGCATGGATGAGAGGTTGATGCATGAAAACCTAGCGCACGTCTCAAAAAGGACGCTTGTTACGAAGTTTGAAGCACGCGCGTCTGTTTCTGTGCTGCACAAACAATTCCAGCTGGCCAGCGCTTGGTGATGCCGTTGTTTATGTGGTTGCATTGCAGAAGCCTGAACAGTGGATGCTCTGTCATCCTAAACCCAGAAAGGATCCATACACGCCGCATTCAAACCCTGCTATATCTTTCTACATCATACAGAGCCGTGTTAAACCTCGAGACGCAACAGTGATCCTGATAGTGATCAAACGTGATCCTCTCTCAACTTGCATCATGTCCTGTCCTGAATCCTGATGGATGCAAACTGGAGCATGAGAATTTCCATGTCCAGGAGTTGAAGGATGGGGAACAACAACAGAAGAGATGGTTTCCTGTGCGGCTGTGAGAGGAGAGATGGGGAACAGAGAGATTTGGAGAGGTTTGCAAATGAGTGGAAAAGGGTGGGTCAACATACAAACATTGAGCATGAAGGGTGACGTGAAATGCAATGAAAACCGTCCGATACGAAGCTTCACATTTTACCTGTACCGTAGGATGAGGAGATTCAGTTCTGAATCTCCGAAGCATCAATCATTTCAGTGGCCACCTTCCGGATCTTGCGGACCTGAGTCCATGCTGATCACAACTGCGCCTGAACAACTGTTCGCTACACGTCATTCTTACACCAAGCTTGGACCTCGTTGCCACGCTGGCAGCCAAAAGAATCCAACAGGCTGAATCACAACCAAACAGGTCTGTACAAAACCTACACTACATCCCTTTCGTTAGTTAGCATGCAAGTTACAAACTGCATACCATGGAATCTTAATGATAAATGCTTCTCCCCATGTCATTGACAAAGAGCATCAAGGGAACCATTCTTTGGGAGTTGCCTTAAATCCTAGCAGAGCAGTGAGAAAAACGAGGAATGAAATGACTAAGTGAAAGTTGGGTACAAAAAGCAAACCCTAGAAAACTGTACCCCATATGTGCCACCCCACTATAGCCTACAGTAGCTATGTCATATAAATCTGACACACCCCCATAGGCAAAGTGGGGGAGAACAAGGGGTCACAGGACCAGTCAAGCAAAGCAAAACAAGCTCAGGGTGGATCACAAAGTCACCACACATTCCGAGCACAAGTTCAAGGCCACAAGGCCAGTTCACATGCAGGATTACATATATATATAAGGCTAGACAAGCAAGAGCAGGAGTATATATATATATGCATCAGTACAAACAAGGTCAAGGGGTGAGCAAGTGAGGCAAGGTGGGCACAAGACCCAGCTGAGTACAGAAGCGCTGATGATCACAAGGCGCAAGTGCCTTGGTGAAGATATCAGCAGTGTTGGCCTCAGAGGCCACGTACGCAAGCCGCAGCTGACCACGCTGCTGTAGCTCACGAGCAAGGAAGTAGCGGAGAGCAATGTGCTTCGTTCTGTGCTCCAGTCTCTGCTCTCGACACAAGGCCAGCATGGCCTTGTTGTCTACGTACAGCACTGGAGGAGAACGAGGTGGCTCTCCGAGGTCAGTCAGCAGGTAGGTGAGCCAGCGAAGCTCCTGTGCAGCCATGGCCCCGGCGTAGATCTCAGCCTCACAACTGGAGCCGAGAACAGAAGACGAGCGGGTAGCCCGCCACGAAACAGAGCCGGAACCAAGGCTGAAGGTGTAACCCTGTGACGACCGCTGCGTAGCCTGGTCATCAGCCCAAGAAGCGTCTGCGTGCCCAGTGAGGACCACTGGACTCTGCCCTCCAAGCACAAGCCCCATGCCCGACGTACTGCACAAGTAACGCAACACCCTCTTCGCTGCAGCCATGTGCTCCGGTCTGTGTCTCCCAGGAGCAACATAGCGTGCGAGAATGCTAAGAGGGTATGCGAGGTCAGGTCGTGTGCAGGTCATCAGGTACATGAGGCAGCCAACAAGCTCTGGGTACGGGCCACTCGACTCTACGGACTCATCCGAAGGCAGAGCTGAGAGCGAGTGGCGAGTAGGCAGAGGAGTGGCCTGAGGCGAGGAGTACGTGAAGCCGAAGCGCTGAAGGACCTGCTGCACCATGTGTGACTGAGTCAGGGTAATGGTGCGGCGTGCTCTGTCCCGGGTGATCTGCAAGCCAAGGTAGCTACGCAGTTCACCCAGGTCTGTGCACGTGTGTCTCTTCTGCAGCTCGGACTTCACGTGGGCGAGTCCAGCAGTGTCAGCTGTGGCAAAGACCAAGTCGTCGACGTACACGAGGATGTAGAATGGCGGCAAAGAAGTGTCGGTGCGCAGAAACAGCGACGGGTCGGCAGTAGAGGGAGCAAACCCAAGAGCCGCAAGTGTAGTCCTCAGTGTGTCGTGCCACTCACGCGGTGCCTGGCGGAGACCGTAGACTGGCCGCCGGAGGCTCCACTGGGTGCCAGGAGGAAAAGACCCAGTGAAGCCAGGTGGGCGACGCAGCCAGATCTCCTCGTGCAGGCTGCCCTGCAAGAAAGCAGTGCTGAAGTCAAGAGAGTGCAGCTCGTAGTCGCGGTGAGCAGCTATGTGCAGCAGTACCCGAAGAGTGGTCATCTTCGGGGTGGGAGAGAAGGTCTGAAAGTAGTCAACTTCCTGCCGCTGACTGAAGCCACGAGCCACGTAACGCGCCTTGAAGACAGGCGGAGAACCCGGCGGCCGCTTCACCCTGAAAATCCACATGCCACTGACGATGTTCGCCCCAGGCGGGGGAACCTCGTCAACGTAGGTACCTGTGGACTTCCAGGAAGCCATCTCTGTGTCCATTGCTGCCTGCCACTGAGAGGAGTAGGGACCCTCTATCGCCTCCGCGTAAGAGCGCGGAGTCGGGATGTCAAGTGCATCCGGGTCTCCCTCAGGGGTAAGCAGTACGGACACGAGATGAGGTGAAGCAGCAGCCAAACACTGGAACTCCTCCTGCCTGTCCTCAAGGACGTCCGTGCCAAGGGCACACTCACCCCCGACGGACGGAGGACAGACAGACTCAGACTCAGCGACAAGACAAGCAGCGTAGTCTAGACGACAGCGAGCAGCAAAGTCGACGAGCTCAGCAACTAGGGCAGACGCAGCAGTGGACGCAAAGGAAGGGTCAGTGACGACAGTAGCAAGGAGACGCGTGACAGTAGGACTGGCAGCACCAAGAGAGTCCGACTCTGGGTCCGGAAGAGCAGGAAGAGAGGACTCAGGAGGAGAAGGCAAAGGGGCACGCAGAGGAGCAGTGGACGGACGCAGAGACATCCGGTGCGTGCCAGGGACAGGAGGAGGACGCTGACGCGAACCACGACCACTAGCGCGAGCAGTACGGACAGGCGACGCAGGACGCGACGCAGGCTCACGACGCTCAGCAAGACCTCCAGTAGGACCAGTGTAGGGAGAAGGAGCGGGCAGTGGGGAGGCCGGCTGTAACTGTAACTGTGACAGGACAGGCTGTGGACTCTCTAAGGGAGGAGGAGGGCCAGTAGAAGGCGGGAGACCAAGAACCTGCTGAAGGAGCGGAACGAAGTACGGCCGAGGCCGCGCGGCGACTCCAGACACAGCAGGGACAGCACCAGTACCCCCAGCGGCAGCACCAGCGCCAGCAGCACCTCCAGCTCCAGTACCTCCAGCAGCACCAGTAGCACCCCCAGCAGGCCCGCCTCCAGGACCGACAGCAGTAGCCTCAGCGTCAACACCCTCAGCAGCTCCAGCTCCAGTCGTACCCGCAGGCCCAGCAGCTCCAGTACTCCCAGTACGAGCACCTCCGGGACCCGCGGCACCAGCACCCTCAGTAGCCGAAGAACCTCCAGCTCCAGCAGCACGCCTCCAGCGCCGGGCAAACCACTCGCGCAGCTCCTGTGGAGAGAGTGGTTCCCGCCGAGACGAAGCATCCGGAGAACCTCCAGGCTCAGCACCGCCAGACGCCACACAAGCAGGCCCAGCTCCCTCAGGCTCCACACCCCAAGGCCCAGCACCTCCAGGCGTAGCACCCCCAGGCTCAGCACCCCCAGGCTCAGCACCCCCAGGCTCAGCACCTCCAGTAGTAGCACCTCCAGGCTCAGCACCCCCAGGTGTAGCACCCACACGCTCAGCACCCCCAGAGTCAGCACCCCCAGGCTCAGCACCCTCAGCAGCACCAGAGTCACCAGTAACCTCGACAGGCTCGACTGCGTCTACCTGGGACACACCTGAAGGGGCAGGACCCTGAGGGGGGAGGGGGTCTACCGGGGGGGGACCTGGCACAAGGAAGAGCGGGGGTGGGGGGAGGGACGGAGTGCGGTAGGGGAAGAGGCGGTAGTAGGGGACCGACTCGTCAAACGTGACATCCTGGGAGGACAGAACACGGCGAGAGGTGGGGTGGTAGAACTGCCACCCTGGCGCGTCAGGGGGGAAGCCAAGGAAGACGCAAGGAGCAACACGAGGGGACAGCTTGTCCGCAGACAAGTCGCGGACAAACGCCCGAGATCCCCAGACACGGAACGCAGACGCATCGCCAACCTTCCCCGTCCACAGCAAAGCAGGGGAGGTCTCCGGTCTGGAGACCCTAGGGTGAAGGTTGATCTGATGCGCCGCGTACC